GAAGAAGGCAAGGTTGGCAGTTATGGATTTCCGGAATCCAGCAACTGGTGTTTGATGGGGTCAATCATCATGTAGTCAGAGTGAAGATCCAGTTTCTGAGGTAGCATCAAGTTTGTTTTTTGAAGATCTGTCAGGTTTTGGGTTGAGTTGGTGGTAACTTGTACTTGAAACAGATGGGAAGAATGTATTTTATAATGCTTTGCTATTCTCTTTTCTTTTCCGAGCTCAACTCTTGTGAAACAAAATTCTGACAAGTAAAATTGCATTTAAAAAATGTTGCCAATGTAGCATACAAAGTATCTCAAATGTCTCATGCACAGGGTACGGTACGTCTTTGTAGAACTGATTGAACAAAGTAAATGTCAATGGCAATAATACAAATAGAACCGTCAAGCCTCCAATTTCAAGGAATTTTTCCTCCAGGATGCGATTTAACCTGGTTGAGCTTTGTTCACCGCTTCAAGCTGTAACCTCGACCTAGTCAAGAATATAGTCTTAGTCGAGTTGTTATGGGCTGCCGGCACAAAGGGCATGATGATATGGAGACGCCACAATCCTTGCATGTCTGAAATTTCATAGCAAAATTAAATTATGAAGAGAGTAGCATATGATATAACATGGTCTAGCAATTCAGGCAATAAGCTATTTGTACATTGTACAGAAAAACCTTAAAATTGAATGCAACTTACATTTCATTTTTATTTCATCAGTCTTAGTTTTACGTAAAGCAAATATAGTCTTTTAATTCAATAGTGTGATATAATCCGAATGTCGGCCAACAGGAGCAACCACATCAAGTTATCAGATATGGTTTACATAAAACAAACCCATATGAAGAAAAGAAAATATATTTCCTACACAAATGACTCAAAATTTTCTGCAATTTGTATAACTGGTTGGAGAAGCTTACCAGATGACCACATCCAAAAGCCATGTCCTTGGGATTTGTCAAACAGATTGGGCATACCTTGACATGATAAAGGAATTTCAAATCCTTGCATACATTCAAAAAGATAAGGGTCTAACTGAGGATGAAAGATTACTT